TCAGGCTCCATTCTTTGTGAGATTGAAAGTCTTCTTTGTACCTTTCGGACGTCCTCCCCAAGCGAACGAAGGTAGTAGCTCTCATCCTGAAACCAAACCCAGCAGTTTCTCATTAAAAGAATACATTTGTGTATTTTATTATGTGCTTTCTGATCCTCACCTCACACAGGAAGAAGTCAGAGTGTTTCTTCTCTGATGCTCTTCTCACAAATTCATTAAATGGCAGAGTCCTGTCAACGTGGAGCACATGACAGGTGTGGAGATTTACTGCTGTCTGTGTGTTTACATCTATCACTGTGAGGACATTTTGGCTCTTTGTAGCTTTAAAGAGCTGTGTGACACTCAGAGCTGGTTTAATAAAATCCTCTATTCTTAAAAAGCAATACAAACTTGTGTGTGCGCACGTCAGCTTACTTGTAGGCAAAGTTCTTGTGAAGGAAATCCATCTGGGGCACCGTGGACACATGAATCTTCACCTCCTTGTCTCCTCCTTTTTCTCCAAGATAGTCAACTGTCCACTTCTCCAGGCAGGGACCCAGAGACACGCCTCTGAGAACAGCGGGTCGACGCTGCAGGGATAACAAACCCGAGGAGACACTTCACTCCAGTCTTTATCACTCATTTCAAATTAACGTGCCTACGATCCAAAAGTTAAGCAATTTATTTGACCCCCACTGGACAATTGAAGATAACACAGTCCAATAGCAATAAAACGTTTTTTTCTGTACCAACACGATGATCCTTTAAAGAGCTAATTGATAAAAATCGGCATATGTCAGCATGGTGTGCAGTGTGTCCTGAAAAAAAAAGAAAAAGTGGAGGACAAAAGAAGAAGCAGTTTCAGCGGCAGTTGCAGTACACAGTGTGTTAGGTGGATGAGTTGTACAGGGAGATGATCACAGGCAGGAATGATTTCCTGTGTCGTTCAGTGGTGCTTTGGACTAGACTGAAACTTCATCCAAAGAAGAGCTTTGGATGTCCTTCAAGAAACCTGGAGAACAATTTCTGAAGACTACTTAAAGACAGCTGCCAAAAAGAGTTCAGGCTGTACTTCAGAATAAAGGTGGTCACAAAAAAAATGTTAAATTTAAAGCTTGTTAGAATTATACAAACTCTGTTTTTGCCTTATAAAATGTGTTTCCGTGTGTGTATCTGAATAAATTGCTGTCTCTATTTGCCATGTTCTGGGCAAAATACAAAGAAATTAGGGATGGCTGAGACACTGCACAACACTGCATGAATAAAAACTTCCCTGATAGCAGTGAAGTATTAGTAACAAAGTCCAAGTTGATTGTTTTTACTGTGAAAGTTTTCCCGTTGTCTTGGATTGTGTCTGGAAAAGCTTCACACTTTTTCACAACCAAATTAAACCTCAGCCTAAACAATTTGTTAGCTTGAATGCTGAAGATCAGCTCTTTGATTTTAGGAGGGAGAGGAAGTGAAATATACTTTCTCAGGCTTCACATCCCTTCAGAATAAACGTCCTTTTACCTGGATTAGGATATAAATCATTCAAATTATCTCTAGCTGCAGCATTAAAGCAAAATACACGTAAATGAATAGATAATAATGATCCAATACATAATTCATGTGATTCTCCATAAGGAGCACTTTTAGTATTTTAAGAAATTTTTGATGTTAAAATGTGTTTATTTTTACTTTTATAGTGTATTTTCTGTGGCAATAAGAAGTGGCTGGATTCTTTTTATAAAGCAGGCTGTGGTGGAAAATTAAATATGTATGAGTGAGTGTGATGGTGCTCATGTGCTGCTGTCACTTTTTCCTGCGGCCCTGCCCTCGTGCAGTGAAGCACATCCGTCTCACCTGTGGATAAATGTTCCTCAGAAACACCTCTCTGTCTACTGCTGCGAAGACCGGCACAGGTATTTTCTCCTGGAGCTCCATTTAACATGATTTAACGTAGAAAGTCTTCAGTCAGTGATTGTAAACACTCACACTGGGTGTTACGTTATCAATGTTCCCCATAGAAACGAAAAATAACTGTAAAAGTTGGCTTTAAAAGAAAAGCGGGATAAACTTTAAATTATTCGTAATTGCTAGGCTTATTTTAATGATATTTTTTAAAAAAAAAACTGCGTCACTGTGTGTTTTATGAATATCTGTTTGCAGGTTTTTAATGCGTGACGTGTTTCTAACCGGAAGATACAAAAGGGTGGACAAGAAAGCTTCGCCCAGAGCAGATATGGGGAAAGACCGTCCACTTCCTGTTAATTCCATTGTACATAAACTAGCTGCGGGTCAGCAGGAGGAGCAGCAGAGGACGCCCTCAGGCTGGTCCTTAATATAAATGATCATAAAACAGAAAAAGCCAATGTTTGTTTGTTTGTTTGTTTATTTTCACAAATATAGCATCAATAGTGTGTCTTACCCAAGATAAAAATGACGCTTATGTCCGTTAGCTTTTCTTACGGGAAGCCGATTTGCTCATAAAACGCTAGCATTTTGCTAATGCGTGCTGATTGGTCGGTTATTACTCAGTAGTTTCAGTTTCCACGCGATAACTAAATATTAGAAAGGTCGGTAAGCCAAAGGAAAACGTCTACCCCGTTAAACTGACAATGTTGGCTACAAACGTTAGGTGCCTATCTAGCGAGCGCCCCCTATGAAGCCCCGAAGTTCAAAGAATGGCAGTTCTTCACTTTATCAGACGCTCTCTGGCTTCAGCAAACCTACGGAAAAAGATGGCGCTGCCCATGTTAAGAGGTTGTTTCAGGTTGCAGTCAACATTTAGCTTCAATCGCCTGTTTTTAAAAGAGCGTCTCGTCCTGAACCGGCTCGGTAACAGGCGACTACCTCCCTGTTCTCCCGCCGCTGTCGCGGCAGCGGTCCGTCGCTATAGCTCGGACCAGGGAGAGCAGAAGCACCAGAAGGTGGTGGTGGTCGGCATCCCGAACCCCTTCATCTGGTTCCGCACCCGGATTTACTACTTCCTCATCAGGACGTACTTCGACAAAGAGTTCAGTATAGAGGAGTTCACGGAGGGGGCGAAGCAGGTGAGTGGAAGGCTGAGCTGCAGAGCCCAGATTTCCTCCGTGCTGTGTGTTAATGTGTTATTAATGATGGTGTGCTGTTTTCTGCAGGCCTTCTCTCATGTTTCCAGGCTGCTGTCACAGTGCCAGTTTGAAGCCTTAGAGGGCCTCGTAGCTAAAGACGTGAGTACGCTAAATACACCTGCATCAGGCACAGATTCACTTGGTAACAGAGGACAGGACCACAGGAAATGAGAGCATCGGTGGGCTGTTACAGAGCTTAAAGAAAATGTTGCTAAAGTAGCCTAAAAGTGCAAGAGCTTTAACGTTAATCTATTTAAAGTACCTGCAGTAAATTATGCAGAGTCGTTTAATGCACTAAAACAGGAGGAAGAACTGAAGATCGTCATTAGGAGTAACCAGGATTAGAAATGAGTACATCCGAGGTTCAGCTCAGGCTGGGCTGAGATGGTTTGGACATGTGCAGAGGAGGGACAGTGGATATACTGGGCAAAGGATGTTGAATAAAGAATTGTCATGGATGTAGTGAAGGAGGACAAGAGGAGGGTTGGTGTGACAGAGGAGGATGTAGGATATGGGGTGAGGTGGATGCAGATCCATCTATTTGCTGTGGCAACACCGTTTGTGTTTACTGCACAGTGAACTTACCACATCAGACCGCCACAGCCGGCCTGAACCAGCTCTGGAAGGTAAAATGATCTCACAAAGGTTGGGCTGCAGCAGGCCCAGAGGAGGACAATTCAGGAAATTACCACAATCGCCAAAAGATCGTGGCTGTCACTGAAGTGTGAAGGGCTGCCAGTCACCCTGCAATCACCCAGGTCTGATTACACTGCAGGAGGTCTGCCTCAACTGAGGGTATCTTGTGATAAAAGGCCGGGGTAAACACAACAGATGACGTGAGGTACTGTTGGAAACATACCCGAGTTGTCAGCACCATCACCCTATCAAGTCCTATTAAACAAACAGAGACACTATGGCAAAGTTCACTCCTGTTTCCTCTCTGGACAAATCTGCTTAGTTGTTGTTTCACTGGTTGGTGAAGTCCTGTTAAAGAGTATCGTGCTGAGGCATTTTTGTTTTCTCTGACTGAGAAAACAAGGATAGTACATCTT